TGATCAAGGCAACAGCATAATTAATTAATTTACAATGGCCACGGATTTATTCTTAATTGTACACCCCAGTAGAAAATACTTGCGTGGCACTACGCACACTAGCTCTCAAAGGAAGACGACGAAGAAGAAATAACCAAGGAAAGAAAGGAAAGAAAAGAAAGAAGAATCTCTGAAGAAACAAACCAAAAGCACAGCACCTACCTCGATCATCGTCTCAGCACAGATCAGCATGATGAGCAACAACTTAAGCTACTAGCTAGAGCTTCAGGTTGAGATCAACCTGCCTCTGCTTCTCGCCGCCGGCCTCCCTTTGCCTTTGGCGCCACCCCACCGAGCTGTCACCACCGCCGCTGGCGATGCCGGCAACGCCATGGTCGACGGTGTAATGTGGCGGCGCAGCCAGCGTGGCGATGTCGGCGGCGGTGACATGGGAGCCCTGGTGAGGCCGGCAGGAGTGCAACGCCATGGAGGACATCTGGTGGGTGGGCATGCCGACCATGTCAGGGACGGCCATCGCCGTCGTCGTCGTCGTCGTCGTCGTGGCGGCGGCGACGCCGGCCGGGAGGTAGAGGTGGGTGTTCCACCCGACGCTCCTCTCCTTCTTGTGTGCATTCTGGTGTCCCCCTAGCGCCTGCGACTTGAGAAACTTCTTGTTGCAGAAGAGGCAAGGGAAGAGCCTCACACCACCACCACCACCACCATTGCCACCACCTCTGCTGCCTCTGTTGTTGTCACCACCACTCGTGCCGCCGCCGCCGCCTCTTCCCGGAGGAATGGAAGGAGACGCGCCGCCTGGAGAGGGCGGAGGCGATGTCAGGCCCAGCGTCAGCGAGAGGTCGATGACGAAGCCGTCTTCGTCGACGATGGAAAGAGAAGGGGGAGCCTCCATTGGAGATAACCAGAGAAGGAAAAAAAAGACAAGCCTTGAGGATGATTTGATCACCTTGTTCTGCTTGTGTTGGAAGTTGTCAAATGAAGCCAAGAAGGAGATATACTTCCATGAACTGAACTGAACTGAGCTCAGCTCAGTGATGAGAAATGGATGATGAGCGGGTGGGTGATCAAGTGAGGAAGGAGGCTGTTTATAGGTGGATAGTTGGGGGAGGAGCTTTTGGCAAAAAAAAGAGAAGCCACAATGTCTAAATCTGGAGTTGCATAATTGCAAATGTGTACTAGGACGTCCAGACCCACTGGGGGCCCGGACCATAGCCACAGCCACGGAGGAAGACGACAGGAGAGTTTGGTGCTTACTACACTCTCACCAAAAAGGAGCTAGCTACTAGTAGTAGTTCTCTAGATCATTGCTACAGAGAAGTCAGAGATTATAGTTGGTGACCTGATTCAATGTCATGTGTCATGTTGTATGTACCTAGCTAGGCATGTGTTTTGCATCTGATGCGTTCCATGTGTTTGCAGAAAATTAGGGGGCAATTAATAGCATGCCTTGGCCACACAAGACACTTAAGGGACACACCATTGAAAGCATGTATATGGGGCTCTCTCATAGTCTCATGTTGCCCAATTATAGCCTTCTAGATGACATGGACAATCACATTTCACCTTAAGAAATACTCCTGCTATTGCTAACAACAGCAAGTATAGTGCGGAGTTTCTTTTTTTCGCCGGGAAGGCCGAAGGAGGCCATCCGAATATATTAAGGAGAAAAGTTACAAGAAAGAACACGATAGAAGTTGTCGAGGTCGGGCGTGCACCAAGCACCTCCAAGAACCACACGCTAACCACACAAGCACAAACCACTGCAAGTGGAACCGAGCACCAAAACGACCCCCGCTAAGCGTGGCCGATCGCTGCCCGGCCTACAACAACACCACAAAGGCAAGACTGCAAAAACGATGCCCCAGGGAGGTCATGACATCAAGGACCTACCTCAAGACATCAAGGACATCACAACATCAAGGACATCGCCCATCGAAGAAAGATGTGGTTTTCACCCAGAGAAAACTTGCTAAGAAAGGGAGAGAGGGTTTAGATACCCTCGACAGCGCCCCCAAGAGGGTTACGACACCCGAAGGCTTACGCCTGGATCCGCTACCGGCCCGAAGGCTGCCGGCCCGGAGATCCACTGAGCAAGGCTTACGCCTAGATCCGCTACAACCTTTCAAGTAGTTTGTCGCCCACCAGCTCAGCAACCACCACACCGGCATTGACAGCGTGTGGCCTCCACCAAACCGAAGTATAGTGCAGAGTTTCAGCTAAAGGAATTTAGAATGTTGCCCAATTCTGTGATTTTTAAGGAGGCATAGTGTTATAGTATTATACTAAGACTTGAAGGAGGACGGTCCACGTCATTCTAGATCATGGTGCCATGGGAACATCTCACAAGAGTTTATACAGTAGTAGATATTTGGGCAAATTTAAAACTGCAGTTCGTGCATGGTGTGGATCCCATGCATGTTTGTGTGATGTGAACAACTTGCCTTAAAATATTACGCTAAAGCTAGCATACTCCTCACTAGTAATGCCAGTGCGTTAAGTAAGAGTGAACAGTGGCAGTAACAAGACAAAAGGATCGACAGAAGAATGCAGTGCCAGTAACCAGAAAGATTGATGGGGGAAATTGAAAGGTGATCGTCGTATGCGAAAAAGGAAGGAAGCTAGTAGAACACCAGCAGCTCTCCTCCCAGTCCCAGCTGCTAGTAGCCAGTAGTAGCATGTATAATCTTTTCCCTTCCTCCTTTCATGTCCATGTCCATGTTCATGTTTATGTCCATGTCCATGTGGAGCCAAGATAGGAAAGAGGGTGTCTCTGAATCTCTGATTGGTCAGGGGGCAAATACCAAGGAACACGTGCAAGCGTGCAAGACAGGAGTATGTTGGTACATAATAAGGAACCTAAACAGGAGCAGAAGAGGAGAGGAGGCCTCACTAACAAAACCTTGTGAAAACCTTACTATTAGTCTGCTAGTACCACTCACTATTGGTTCCTCTTGCATTTGGTACCCTCTTGGCCACTCGCATTTGTGACAGGGCCCCCCTTGCATATGCTCCTCTCAACATCACCCATGATATGATATGCTATGCTACGGTTTTGAGCTAGTTAAAAAAACATACCTGATCAAGAATATGGAGACAATGACAGAGTAATTAATATTTTTACCTTCCAAGCCGAGATTGCTGCAACAAGTCACTTTCTGAGGATTTCTCTTATTTTTCCGCACTACAGGAGTTTTAGGATTTACAGCTATCAGGCGACGAATTGATCCACAATTTCTCCACTAAACAAGGCCTGCAGTTAGGCAAGGAGTTCTCTAAATAGTATATCAAAGTTCTGGTGAGGATTTTGGAGTGATAGGTAGGACTCTCCAAAAAGGATTTCTAGTGATGGAGAAAGAGGGTACGTGGATGGATAAATGCAAGCTGAAGATATAAAGATGATGAAATATTTCGTACACCATATGCATGAGGTAGTACAATGTTTTGGATTATCCCTAATTTGTCTGCCCGTCCTTTTGTCCAGGGCGTCTATCTCTATCTATCTTTATTCCATTAGGCAGTTGTTCATGTGTCAACTACTTCTACTAGTGGAGTTTGTCATACTGTTGTTTGAGCATCCACATGATACGCAGTGTGTGTATGTGCCTAGATGCCCTGGAGCTACCAGTTAAAAAAAGGACGACCTGTAAGTACTATCAACATGGCTAACCCAGCTTTGGAGGAGAGAAGAAAAGTAATACAGATCATGTGGCTTGCCTTGTCATCTCTATGCCCCCCAAGCAGTACCCAAACAAAAAAGGGATGGTGATTGATTTCCTTCAAAAGAGAAAAAAGAGAGCTTTCAAGAACTCTTTCTAGTTGGGCATCCCCACCTCACCTATCATTTTTTTTCATTGGCGCCAACTAATTCTGGGTAGCCTCTCAATTCCTGGATTTTGACCGGATCTAATAAATGGTGCAAACAACATATTTGACATGGAACTAACTCTGGGTAGCTATTTTGCTATGGTAGCAACCTATTTGACATTGATCGATCAAGCCCCTTTTACTGGGTAATGTGCAGTATGAATTAAAGGAAATGAATGGAGTCAAAATGTTTGTTTACTCATACCTGTCGTAGCAGCCAGGAACAGAACTGTGGCAGTCCTTGTACCCAAGAACTTTGGCAGACATGGACACCAATATGACCTTGAATTGACAATGATAGTTGCCCAACTGGACAAGCGTGGGAGATTAATATATGTGCAAGCCGGTGAAAAACTCCCCAAAACAATCATGTCGTCGTCTATTCATGCTGATACAGCTGAAGATCCTGTCTGAGCAAGCCAACACCAAGCCAAAACACAACCCAGACCTGCTACAGTACCTACTGCACTCTTACGCTGAGCAATTCAATCTGCCATCACGTTTTCAGACAGTTGATCAACTGGTGCCTTGCCAGGGACCGTCGCTGTAAACAGGTCTTGATCAGCATAAATATAGGCAGCAACAACAATGTTGGGGCAGGTCTGAGCTAGCTGAAAAATAGGCAGTAGCATTAGCAGGCTTAAAGGAAAGCAATGAACCCCACCAAAAGATGCCCATTAGTGTGTACTGAGAACTCATTAGGTCCGCAGTAATGATCCACCGAGTGTGGAGCAACAGTAATTCACCAGGCCATCCACCACCTGGTGCCACTTAAAACTTGAGCCCTTGATTTGATGAGCTTTCAATGACCAAAGTGACATAGATCTAACTCAGATGCATGATTTATTTGTAGGGTCCATTCTTGTAGACTGACAACAAGCTGTTCAAATGACTACTGATGAACATCCCTTGCTGGTGGCAGGACTAGCGTTCATGTGCGCATTGGACCAAGGGTGACCACACAACTCAAACGATGATGCTGATAGACAGTACCTGCAGAAAACATATGTGGGCTCTGAAGCCATTGAGTTTTATAGGGGGTAGCAAAACAACAGAAACATATAAATAAAATGGACAAAAGTAACACCATTTTTACCAGCAAGGTACATCAACAATTAACAAGAAAAACGCAGTTAATATTAAGTTCAAAAAGACCCAGGGCGCTTGATGAAGTAGAAAAGCGGTGTTAACTGATGTGCCATTGAAATTCATGTCTGGTCACCTCAGTACAGGATAACAAGTCTGTGTACTAATCAACAGTCACATTTAGTATGAATACAAATACTGAAGATAACAAGCGAGCTAGAAATCCTTGGATCTAGCATCTGTTCACATGTGAGACTTTTCCTGCATGACCCGTCCTATCTACATCCAAAACTGCATTCCTTGTTGGCTGGTTGTTTGCTCTCGCCTAAATGATTAAGTATTCCAATTGTCAGTGCAAGTTATAGATGAACCTACAAAACTACAACAAAAATTAAAAGATTTAAAAGCACTTTTAGATGAAATGAGGCAAATCATGATTAACAAAGATTACAAATATGCTCTTCTATCACATTTATCATGTTCTAGTCTGACTAGATTTGGGATCATGTGAACTCCTCTGCATTAGACCTTGTAAGTTTGCATAGCATATTTTACTTCATGTAGGGTCCTCATGTACCAATCTACTATAAAGAACACCCCATGAGTTAATCAAACGTGAGAAGATTTATTTACATAACAAGGAATAAACAGTGATATATACCTAATGAAGAAGGGTGGAATCATCGGCACATTATCCATACTTAGCAATGGTGATTGAAGTTTTTTATTTGGATTACTTCAGCTTAATTAAAGAAACTACATGAGATAACACACCTTTCAAGGTTGAGAAAATAAAAAAAAGATGTTTTGGTCTTTTTTTAAAGCATAATCAGGTGTCCACAAGACCGCAACACCATGCCAAGGCAGCACACCATATTCAAATTATCATACCTCATATTAAAAATCCAACTCATTAAATCATCAAGGAAAATATCATTCGTTCTATATCCATATGTGCTCCCTGCGGTACTCTCTCACAATGACTGGCACACTAGTAGGTGGGAGCTGCGACAGCAGGACAAAACATCAATTCAATGGACCAAATGAGACAGCCATCTTAAATGATGAACAAAACAGTAGGGGAGTGGTAGAGAAATATAAGACTAACAAAAGCAGAAATTTGAGTATAGCGTGTATTAATATCAGACTGGTTATGCAGACAAAACAAACAGTATGCACAAGAAATATAATGGGAAGTAACTGCAAGCAAAACTGCTTGTTTTCATCCATGAGACCATGACTATCATCGAGAATCACCAACTAGTAAAAAAGACTAACTGAAATTTCAGAAATAACTATTTGTGTCATAGAACTCTTAATAGCACTGATGTAGGATCAAGTTATGCAGCCAATGCACGAGTATTTTCACTATGAAACTATGAAAGGTGAAGGTCACGTCCTCATATTAATCAATAAAACTATGACTTTTGAAGACACCAGACTAGTATCAAACAAAAGATATATAAATCAATGAGAAAGCAATTAGTGTAAAGAACTAAAGACTAGATGGCATAGAGATATTCCAAACTAGATTAAGAACAATTAAACCTGCACTCATGAGAGAAGTACAGTTCAAATTAGACATAGTCAACAATTATTGAACTATTAAGGACCATGTTATATTTTGTCTCTTTTTCTTTTCTGTATGCCATTCTTATTGCAATCAGGTATGTGACTCATAAAGTTTACATCACATGTGTAAAATAACGCATCAGTTTGAAGACAGCTCGCATATCTGCCGAGGCATATGGTACGGCTGTCCAAATCCAAGGCCAGTTGGGGGCAGACAGATCTGACTATTAGACCAAATAAGGCAGCTTTCTGAAAGATAATTTTGTTAGGACATATACAAAAACAACAATATTGTGCCAATACTGGTCCTACTATTTTTAAGATGACAGCGACTACTTATATATGTGGCTTAGTTATATTTTTAGAAAAAAAGTTGTGGGTATAGACATAATTGAAAGTGTGTACAAGAGATGTACTGCGCAATTGTAATTGCCATATTGAACCTTGATGAGTAGGTTTTGGACCTTAAGCAATCCCTGAGAGATAAGATGGAAGCTAATCCTATCCTACCATAACAACCGGATCCTATCAATCCTAACCAGTAACCATATACTCTAACAATAATCAAATGAAAGAATATCTCTGTATCAGAGATTATCTGGTGCTCACTGACTGTGAGACCCAGTATACCTAGCAGATTCCTTCTTGCAACAAAGATAAAAATAAATAATAGCAAAACATATTCAGCTAAGTGTTCCCTGCCATAGATAAGTGCAACCGTTATACTGCTAGATATAAGTATTGCCTTTTTCTAGAGCAATATTTAGTCAAAACCTAACAGAAAAAAAGTTTTCATTATTGACTTGGCTGAAGTTAAAGTTATGGGGTTGTGGTTACTCATTAGCAAGAAAGGGAGACAAATTTGCAGCTCAAGGTCGATGAATCCAAGTGGTACTGTACTAACAATTTTAAAACTCGGTCAGCATATGATAGCATTATATTGAACTATTACAAGCACAAAAAACAGCAGCAAAAAGAAACGAAGTTAACATGGGTATAATATGATTTGAATATAAGCATGAGGAATTGATTTAGAAGTAGAAAGGAACACATCTTACCATTCCATATTCTGTTATGATCATAGAAACATAGTCGGAAGGCATAGTGTCATACCTATCAGGTGAACGAAATTCGATTGATTATCCAACATGAGAAACATAATGACCAGCTATAACATCTATGGAATTCAGGCACGTACTTAAGATTCAGAAGTTGTAGATTTTCATTATAAGTACAGTTTTTAAGGTGGCACAAATCTTCCCTCTCAGGAACTCTTGAAATAACATCTGGATCACCTGAGTAAACATGTCATGAGTTAAGTCTTGAGGAAAGCTTAATCAATAACTTAATTTACAAGCAAGAATGATATAGTACCAAGTTCATTAGAGCATATAGAATCAAGTTGAACCCTCTCATGCAATTTATACGCCTCACAGCACACTAAAACAGGCACTCCAAAGGCATGAGCAACCATTGCTACAGCTGCTGTCCCAACGCTGGAGTAAACTGCTCCATTTGACAATATCGAAGAGGCACCCAAAAAAACCCTTGTGACCTCATGCATGATGTATGAGATGGCATTAATGTGCGTATATGTGCAACTGATGCCCTTTGCAACTAATCTGTGCAATAGTGCTTGTCCCTCGTTGTTCGGACGAGAATCTACCACAACAACACGAAACTTCTTTCCAAGCTCATTAGCATGATCAAAAATCATTTCAACAACAGAGGATGATGCGTATGTCAGTAATACATCATCATCTCTGACTTTGGCTATTGCATGGCTAACAATGACATGGTCTGCAATTATTATCTTCTCATTTATAAACCGATCAATGTCAGACTGTAGGCTAGCTTTAGCTTCTGACTCAGACAATGTAAGCAATAGCTTGGCAATTCTGTTCTTCAAAAACCTAATAGCATTGCCCATGCTGATTGAAAGAGGCTTGCACTCGATGAGAAATGACACGTAGCTACTGATTTTAGCAGTAAGATCTCGGTTGAGAGTTTTGGTGGAAGGTGTAGAGTAATCTTTTATGGCCTCTCTGAAAGCAAGAAGCATTGCTACGCAACAAGCATTGCCACCTGATATAACACCAGACAAAAATTGAAGTCCAACCTGAAACGTAGAACAGTCACATAAGATATTTACAGAGGTCAAATAAGATAATTGCTATTCACCTAATTTAGCAGTAACCAGTCCTATTAGAAAACAAGAAAATGAAAAGCTTTTTTCGCCTGTTTTTTTTTTATGTTAACTTTAACCACCAGAGAAGCAGTAATGCAAGACAGAACAAATCAACATTCTCCTACAAATATATTCATCTTATACAATAGTTTAGGCAACCCAAATCCCCAAGGAAAAACATCGGCATGTGTCGTTACTGCTTACTGCATATCTGAATTGCAGTATTTGATAAGTACCTTGTAGACAGAAGGATGCATTAGATCAAGATGAAAAAATTTTGACTCGAGGTCAGGAAGCTGAGTTCCATGTACATATTGAGGCAGATGCCTGAACAATTCGACTCTGTTTTGTGCTTCTGCTTGGTTGACCAGTGAATGCTTCTTTGTTTTCTCCACCCGATGTACATTATCAAACTGCATACGAGGGGGAGGAACATCTTTCTTTCTATCTCTGTCAGGAGGGTGCTCACTAGTCTTCTTTTCAGAAGCAACTGGAGGTGTAAGTTGGGGCAGATCTTTCTTGGGAGGTGTCTTTACAGTTTTGAGTTGTTTTGACATTGCAGCATTAGAAGTAGAAACTGTGGCTACAGATTTTCTTGATAACCCTGAAATTTGAATAAGACAGATGGTGCATGTCAGTGAAAGGTGTGGCACAGAAGACTTTATCTGATTGATACAGAACTATATATACCCCCACCCAGCCAAAAAAGCAAAAACTTGTCCTTCATTCCAGCAGGTAAAATACTATCATAATTTAACCACAAACCAACCTAGAATAATGAAATCTAGATTGAGTAAAAAGCAGGCAAACTACCTGCCTCCTTTGCAGAAGCTTTGGCTGCACGCTGAGCTTCCTGAATAGCACGTCTCTCTGCTTTAGAAAGCTTCTGTTTTTGTTGAACTGGGGCTGGAGCTGGAGCACCTTCATTCTGTGTATCAGGAAGACCTTCCTTTGATTCTAAAATAAAGAGCAGAAGAAAAATATGTACAGCTTGTATATGGTCATTCTTTAAAATAGTTTTTAAAGGAATGCTGATCGGTAATTCTCAGCCATTTGCATCTAACTAGCTTGTGAATACTTAACATAAATATACAGTGAAAGCCACATGGACATAGTGCAATAATGCAATACCCATAGATATAAACAACATGAATGACAATCTCAATCTCCTCTTTGTGGCCAGCGTTGTATGATAATTCATCCATCATGAATACCGAATTCTTTGCTAACAAGTTAACATTGATTTGGCATCAATTTCGCTGCCTGAATTACAATATTTAGTCTCCAGAGATAAATTATATGTTTCAACACTCTGCCGTCGACTCCAAGCCACTGTGAAAAATGATCAGGTCATGCAGTAGGGTCCCCGGAAAGTGAGCTATAGTAGGCTAGCAGATTGTGGTCCGGTACCAATAAGTTTTGTCCTAAAAGACTTGGAATCAGTGGTCAAGCGATATGCCATTTTTTACTGCCTTGTCAACTGTATTGGCAATAGCAAAACTGCAAAGGTAACATTAAAAGCAATATACTTATGCAAACTAACTAATGTTGCAAATACCGCTTGATGTTATGCAGTCTTATCAGTAAAATTAAACCAAAACCTATCCATCTCTAACCATTGCAGAAATCATAGGAATGGTTTGTTAGAAAAATTAGAGCTAACACTATCCATCTCTAACCGTTGCAGAAATCATAGGAATGATTAGTTAGAAAAAGTATAGCTAAAACAATCATCTCTAACAGTTGCAAAAATCGCAGGAATGATTTGTTATAGAGGGGTCAGATTTGGAGGCCGCGAATCGCATACCGAGAAGGGCAGGTGGAGGTGGCCGCGCCCACGAGACGTCAACGTCGTCGTCGTCGTCGTCGTCGAGGTCGGATTCTGCGGCGTCGAGGCGGGATGACGAAGGCGGCGGCGGGGAGGAGGGCAGGAGCGAGACGGGGGCGGGAGAAAGGGCGGTGAGGTGGTCGGGGATGCGCGGGGGCGGGATCATCACGGGGGAGAGCGACCCCGGGTAGACGTCGGAGCCACGCGGGGAGGAGGAAGACGACGCCGCCGCCGCGGCGGGCTCGGCAGTGGTGGTGACGAAGCCGACCTGCCGGTACCTCGGCTCCACTCCCCCCGACGAGGAGCGCGTCGTCGGCCGCCGCAGATCCATCCCGGCGTCCACGGCGGCGGCGGAGGCGGTGGTGGAGGTGGCGCGAGGAATTGGTCTTCTTCTGCGCGGAAGCAGCAGAAGCCGAAGCGGAGGGGACGTGGCGTGCGGAATTTTTTTTATTTATAATTTTTTTTATTAAAAGTTTTACAAAAATAATTTTCCATTTTGAAAATTGACGGAAATAGTCGCCTACCCGCCCTCTGGGAGGGCGATTTTTAAAAATCGCCCTCCCAGAGGGCGGCGAAAATGACGTGGCAGACGACCGTTCGCTCTCGGGCGACGGCCGTCAACGAAATTTGCAGGCGGCCCCCTTGCCGCCCTCCGCGAGGGCGATTTTGTACTGTGCGGGGGGCCGCCTGCAAATGGGCGGCGAGGGGGGGCATGGAAATTTGCAGGCGGCCCCCTTGCCGCCCTCCGCGAGGGCGATTTTGCACTGTGCGGGGGCCCGCCTGCAAATGGGCGGCGAGGGGGCATGGAATTTTGCAGGCGGCCCCCTTGCCGCCCTGGGGGAGGGCGATTTTGTACTGTGCTCTATATTTTTTTTATATAAATATCAATAGTTATCAAATCTTTTTATATTGAAAACTATACAAGATTAAAATCTCCAAGATTGGTAAAATACAATTTTATTATTTTTTAGGGCATATTTGGAATGTTACCGTACAAATATTTTGTTAATGCCAAAATATAAGCAAGTTTTGGCACTACCAAATATTTGGTAAGGTAAAATTGCATTTGATCATATTTGGTTTGCTGCCAAAATGTAAAATTGTAGTGAAGAATGTTGTACATAATCTCAATTCTAGATTACGTATTACCAATTAATAGGCTTCCATTTTCGTGTGTGGTGTGGTAGTGGGAAAGAAGATATGAAGAGGTTGCCTTCAGATTGTCAATTATATAGCGTCGTTTTCACTGCAATATATGTGAACTCAATGAGATACATTATTCATTAGATGTGACAAGACGATCACGCGTGGGCGTGATTCACTTTATGTCAACAGGCAGCGCCGAAAGTTGATAGTGATAACTCGAGCTGCCGCTTTTCATGTGTGCTGTTGTGGACTGTGCGCGCTACTGGATATGGCACTACCGTGAAGCGCCGAAAGTGTGTTGTTGTGAGCATAAGTTGTTCAAGCACCATACGAATGAAAAGAACTACGTAGACGAGACAAACACAAGTAGTACTGCAGTAGTAATAGCAAAAGTAGTACTGCTTTACAAGTTTGTAAGCCAAAAGAAACGGTCACATAAGGACTGAAGAGGTAGAACACTACTGACGAGGCCTCTTACCCCTGTCCCTCCTACCCTGCGCCCTAATGTGCCCCTGGGAGTACGTGAGTCGGTCCGGGGGTACGGCACGGCCAACCCGTCCTGCCTGTACAGGTGTGACCTCTGGCTGCTCCTGAGTGTGCGCCTCTGGAGCTCCTCCAAGCTGAGAGGAGCCTAGTACGTCCTGGTGGTCTGCACTGTGCAAGTCGTCGTCGTAGAACTGGCTAGTAGGACCAGTCCTACCGGCGTGAGACGAAGAGGCCCCAGTACCGAAGATCCCGGCTGCAAATCCTGCTGGACAAGGACCATCAGTTTCGTATAGGTATTTAACAGTATTAATAAAAAGTAAAGTACCGTGTGGGCGAGGGATCGACGCTCCGTGAGAGGAAGAGCTGGCGAACGCGCCTGAAGAGGTGGCGAACGCCCCTGCGGAGCTCGCGGAAGCGCCGGTCGTGCCTGCGAACGCGCTCGAAGGCATACGAGGTCCTGCGATGAGGAAACGTGCAGTTAAAACATGGTGACACATTCGTGCAAAAGCTGAAACAAAAATGAACTAATATCTGGGCTGAACTGTACCGTGCGAAACCGGTGCTGTAGGTCGCACTGCTCCGAAGCTAGGGGCGCTCGAAGACAAACGAGGTCCTGCTCCGACGGTAGGACCGCGAGGCCGTGGGTGTACCGGACCAGCTGGAGGTACGACGTCCACGGCGCTGCGACAGGAGAAGACGCGCATGACCGCACGCATCTTCTCCTGCATCCGGTCGAAGGTCGACCTCTGCTCAACGTCAGTCAAGTGCAAACCTCTGTTCAACCTCACCTGGACTGCGGTGATATCGGCACTGATATCCCGTGCCGCATCAGCCTATGCAAGATGGAAATAAAAAATTCAGTAGTTGTCCTATATTATGCAAGATAAATGACATAATTGTTGGAAGTAATACAAATTGGACGTACCGCCACGAAGTAGTCTCGGTCACGGTGCGTGGGATACGCGTCCGTGACAGCGGCAACGTGCGGCTCTGGGGCGTCTGGAGTGAAGGTCACACGCGCACGAGTGCGAGGAAGGTACCAGCGAAGGTAGTCACGGTAGTTCTCCTCCGTGTGTGGGAAGAGCTCGTTGATCACCTCCTCTGTAGCTAACAACCAGTCGTCAACGTACTGCTGTACACGTGGAGCCCAAAGTGCGCCTGCTAGCTGTCCCCGTCGAGTCAACCTGTGAAGAGAGGTAAATTGTATGGCTCGATGATGTAATTATCATAAAAATTTAGAAATGAACAATCCGAACTCACGAGTGGTCGGCAGGGGGGACGGTCGGCTGCACGTTGCCGGGAAACACCTGCCTAAGTCCGAACTGTCTCATCACACGCTGCGGCCAGTGAGGCTCAACGAAAATGTCGAACACCATCGGCAGGATGGTGAGCCAGTAAGCCTGGTCGCGTGTGCACAAGGACGAAAGTCCTAGCGGTGCTCTCGCAGCGACGGCCTCTTCTGTGTACGGCTCCCAGATGACGTCGCTCGGCTGGAGACGGTCAAACTCGAACACGAAGTCCGGGTAACCACGTCTCACCTGGACGTGAGCGTAACGACGCTGCAATAAACATGATCGGAATTAGACATGTTATGTGAAGGAAAAAAAAAAGAAGAGGACTGATAAACTTATAACGCAGCGAAGTTGCACTAACCCCACGTCGACACCAGTAAGTCCCCATCGTGGGACCGTCCTCTAGCCACTGCGCGCTGCGACCAACCCCGTAGGGTGCGCTGTCCACCACTGGTCGCCCTATGGCAAACCTCTCGGCTGCCCAAAGCTGAAGCAACATAGGACAACCAGCGATGATCGCTCCCGCGTCAGTCTTCGTGCACGCCTCACAGAGGGCACGGTACGTGGCTGCTAGCACGGCAGAACCCCAGCTCCACTGCGGCACGTCCTGTGGCTGAGCATCCGCGATGGACCGTGCGTAGTGGACCAGCCGGAAGTCCACAGCGTGCCCGTGGGTGCTAGTGAACATCACCCACCCGAACAACCACAACAGGTACGCCTCAAGGGAGCGTCGGACCGAGTAATCATCAGCGTCAGGGTGCAGAAGGTCCGCCTACAGTTAAGAATGAAATGTTAGTACAAAACACTGATCCGGTCGCAAATAAGCACGTATGATAATAACAACTTATTTACTTACAGTGAACTGGAGCAACCAAGCCTTGCTAGGCCCGACTGTAGAGTACGGAGGAAGGGTGGTGGTCGGTCCTAGGTGTGGAAGGCGCATCACCTGCTCGAAGCGCGCAGTGATATCCTCCTTCCACCCAAAAACACCGTCGACGGGACCAACTGGTGCTCCCGCCAGCGGTAGCCCGAGCAGGTACGACACGTCCTGCAGTGTCGGAGCCATCTCCCCACAGGGAAGGTGGAACGTGTGCGTCTCAGGTCTCCAGCGGTCTACAAGAGCGGCAAGGAGTGACCGGTCTGCATCCCACCGCTTCGCTGGGTCACGGTCGTCCGCCGCCGCCTCAACAAGCCTACAAAGTGGTAGAAGGCCTGCCGCACGCAACCTGTATAGAGCAAACTTCAAACATAAGTATAAAACAAAGCAAAGTTGAGTTGAAATGTGAACATACGCGTACCAAGGAACGTGACGGGGGTCGACACGCAACCACTCGCGCGACGTGCGTGGACGGAAGGTGCCGAGCTGTGCACCCTCGACTGCTGACAGGAACGAGCGGTGGTTCCTGTCAATCCCACGGTTCAACAGCGCCGGTGTGTCGTACGCCATACCTGCATCAAATAGGTTGATCAGAAACATATAAATAATTAGTTCAACATAAGTAATAAATGTTCATAAGCGAATTACTAACACATATTAAACAAGAGTACAAACAAACAAAAGTGTTTAGTCCGAACACTCATCACGATAACATTATGATACAACACCGAATAGTTCGCAATACTACTAGTACAACAATAGTCGGAGGTACTCATTACAACAAGATTGAATTGAAATTACACGATAGAAGTATTTAGTCCGAACACTCATTACATCATTTTATTTCCTAAATCGAAAGCATTGTTACACCATAGATCAGCCTGCTGCGCGACGACGCCTTGGCCTTGCGCGCCTGCTTGTTGTTCCTTCACCAGGTGGTCGCCTACCATCACTTGCCTGTCCAGATGGACTAGCATCTGCGCCGCTTGGAACTTCTGCATTCTTCGGGCATGTCTTGTAAGTATGGCCGCGCAGATCACACTTGCTGCAGCGTAAAGTCCTCCCACCTGCTTCTGACTCATCCATATCATTTCTGATGCGTCTAGTTTGGCGTCGACCCTTTTTCACCCTAAACTTAGATGGATCTGGAATATAAAAAACTTGGGCACTCAGCGTTGTGTAAGATCCTGAGATCCCGAACCCATATATCTCCTCACTCCATGTATGAAAGATTGCTTCTTTCCTGAAATAATTTGAGACGTACACATTGGGAGATATGCCACAATCACCGGCAGCAGCAAGAACGTGTGAGCAAGGAAGGTGATGAAGCTTCGGCTTCATACAACTGCAGGTACATCCACCATCCGCCTTCAAGACACATTCCTGCACGGCTTGCTTGCGATAGATACCACGCCTGCTCCTATCAACACACATTATTTCATACCGATGCACTTGTGTGCCTTGAGCAACAACTCTATGTCTCCGTGCCTTTTTGATTTTATCTTCCATGAACTTTGTCACTACGTTGCCAAACACTATGTTGTTATCGGCCATGGACGGACCAATTTTCTTGTATCGATCCCTAAAGTAGGCTTGCGTGCCGTGAAGGATGAATTCAACAAT